AAAAAAAAAAAAAAAAAAAAAAATAAACAAATTAAAAATAAAAATACTCCAGTTTACTCTGGAGCTGAGTTATAAAAAGTGGATGTTTTTTGCTATTACGGACTGTTAATTAAGTTTTTTATTGCGAAAAAAAATTGTGTAACATCTTCATGTACGTATGCATCATACTGCCACATCACTTTATCAATTTCAATGAAAGGGGAGCTGAAAAAAAATTCGAAAATTTCGCATTGTAACAACCAGCAGCAGCTCTGCGCTCCCATTTGTACCCCTCTCTTGTGACTAGGAGGTCGACCGGATGCAGTGCGCATGGGGTACAACACGGCCTGTGGCTGGCGTTTGAATGTAAATAAGTTTTTGTACATCGTTAAACAGTTATCAACTTAACATAGTATTATACATTTAACATGAGGTGGACCACATGTCTCTCGGCAAAGTATGCAAGATGTATTTGCATCTGTACAATGATTTCGGTAATGTGAACGTCGATTAGTGTTCAAAAATTATACTCATACTCCATTTTGTTTACTGCACTATCTATAACATGTTTATTTATGCATACATATCTTTTCTAGATATGTAAACGTATTTATTTTAATTGATTTATTTATTTATGCACGTAAACTACATTTTGGTTTGAAAAAAATGAAATATTTAACCTATTCACTTAACACATTTAAAAAATTTAACTGTCATTATTGTAAGAGAGTTGAAGATATGGATGCAAATACATCTTGCATACTTTGCCGAGAGACATGTGGTCCATTAACTGCAGTCACAGTCACAGATCACAGAAGACAAACAATGATCAACGCCAGTCAAATAAGAAATGATAAGTTACTCATGTCTACTCATATCTCTTCGAAATTATAACGATCAAGTTCACGAAAATTGCTACAGTACGTATACTCAACACAAAAGTTTGCATTGTTTGTGAAGTGCACAAAAATTTGAATAAACCTGTTTCTTTTACAACCCGTTTTTTAATGTAATTTTTTAATTAAACATATTCAGTGTTCAAGACTATGTTTATTACTGTTTAATGATGTACAAAAACTTATTTAAATTCAAA